GGGAAAACTAAACGACATTTTACCGTTCGCATCCACGAGCTCATGGGAGTATCAATGAGGTCAGGTAACATCCTTTTAAGTCCACCCAATTCGGCGATCTGGAACTACAGACATGAAACTGGACATCCGATAACTCACTCAAGATTCACCATTCTTTGTAATGGTAATCCCGACCTTGGACTGTTAATCGAAGAAAATCTATCCATAAAACAAATGTCCCCTGTTTTAAATATAACACAGTCTTCCTATACACTTACTTTGTTTTAAGTAGAGGGTCGAAACACTACATGGCCACATTTATATATATATATATATATGTGTGTGTGTGTGTGTGTGTGTGTGTGTATTTCTCTGTAATTAACATTTCACAAATTACAAACAATGAGGTATGACATTTTTTGTGCTTACCACAGTTCTTTGTTTTCTTATAAAACTGTGTTTTTCTGCTGGAAAAATCTGTGAACAAATATTATATGGCACTACAGATCAACAAAGAAATGGAACGTCAGTTTGTTGTATTGATTTGTTTGTAATGCACGGTAGAAGAATGCACTCATTCCTAAAAGTGAATTTTATAGATATAGCACAATTTTGATGGTTCTTAAAAAGCTTTACTAATTAGCTCCACTGCCACACGCATCCATAAGGTAAAGAAGAAGCTGGTTGGTTGGTCAGTCAGAATGAAATCTCCATCATGGTGTCCTTGTGCAGTAAGCTGAAGTATCTATTGCTGCTTTGTAATTTATAGAAAACCTGAGATCCTGTGAGCAGTAAATTCTGTTTCAGTTATTACCAGGACATTAAAACCTGTCCAAAAAGAATCGAGTGATGTTAACAAAATACCCGATTGTTTCTTTTCACTTGCTAAACACTATGAACACACTGAAAACAAAACCAAAGGATTTCTCCTTTTTACAACTGCTACATATGTAAACATTCTATACAACACATACAAAGGAAAAATATTAAAGAGAGAGATGACAGATGAATGGGTGCACTGAATCCATATTGTTTCTTATCATAAAAACATTATTTACAGTGTACGAAATACGATAACGGCCAGGAGCTTTTAGATTCTTCTTGGCTCTGAACTTGAGATTGAAACTTGATTGCCATACCTTTCACTGGACTATGCTTTATCACAATTGCTCAAATTAGTTTCATGTGTTATGACTAGTTTTTGTGTCCAAAGTTAACCATAATCTTTCATGATTAATCATATCGCTTCATCTTTTGTATTGATATCCTTTTGTTTTCTTTAACAGAACTATAAACATATAATTCAGGTACCTTTCTCAATTTTGTATGTTAACAATACAAGACAATCTTTCCAATGTATTCACCTTTTATATCACATTGGTATATAGGTTTGTAAATCAGATGATGATAAACTTAGTTTGCTGCAGTCAATATCATCTTCAGTTGTTGTTTTTCACACAAGTTTCTAAAAAAAATTCGACCTGATGCGACAGAGAGCAGAGCCATCCTACCTGTGGTTCTAATGAATAAAATAAGTAGAAACCCTTGATGCCTCTGCTACGGACAACCAGACATGGTGTTCCTTCTAGTACAAACATATATAACAAAACCTAGTTCTCCACCTATCAAGAAAAAAAAGTTTAGAAATTAGTGAACAGCTAGCTGTAAGAAAAATATACAAACACAAAAGTACAAAGAAATGAATACTTATAAAGAAAAATTAAAATATCTGTATTGATTAACGAGAAATGTTATTGTACGTCAAACTGATTACTAATTTTCATTTGAGGAAAAACAAATTTTAACAACAGATTTTTAATTCAAAGTTGGTGTCTAGCATTTCATTTAATATTTTTAATCCATAGTGTATATTTTTCAAACTCATTGTTAGTAATCTTTAATTGACAAGTCTTTACTACGAGTCTAACACCCAATGAAGGATATGGAATCTCACCCGTTATTATACACCTTGATGTGGATCAGCCTTGTTAATCCACATCAAGGAACACTCATTATAATCCTGTAATACGGAACACAAGACTGCAGCAGTTCCCACATCATATTATGCATTAGACCGAAATACTTTAGTAAATTCCCATCCGTAAATACATAATGCATATTGAACGTTAAAGAATATGCTACTCAAAACACTTTCAACCAATTTAAATGACTTTAAGGCAATTTTTATGTTCACCCATAGTTGTCTCTTTTTCTTGAGAGTTTTGTTGTACAATACTATAATTGTTCAATGCTAATACAGAGGTTGAGTATATTACATTAAAGTGATTTCGGAACCTCGCCACTTTATTACAGTTCATGTCATCATGCTCATTTGAAAACTGTACATACTGGGAATAACCCTGCAGCATAGATTTCGTTACAGAAGCCTCCGTTGTAAGGCTGTCATGTGTAAAGCATATCACTACTCCTTACTTGTTTTCCATAATCCACCAAGTGTACATGACAAAAGTTTTCCGGCACCTGTTTCTACAGTCCTATCACACAGAAATTGATAGACAATGCATCCTATTACTGGGCTGATACATCTTGATGTGCAATAGCATGAATATCCATTTCACTCTCCAGCTGTTTCAGGTATGCATTGGTTGAATGGATATGTTGTGGAAGCAGCTTGAGTACATATGACTTATTGCTGCCTGTGACATGTAGATTTCTTATGCCACTGACCTTTGTCTCCTTAGGTTCTCATTAGTTACAAGACACCACACTTTGCTTACCACAGCTGAGGTATGACTTGTTGCAGGTCCCTTTCTGGATGGTCCTGGAACCCTAAGTTCATCCATAATCTATCATTCAATTTACCATGTCACTGAGTTATACCAGTTTCAGGGAATTTCACTCCTCAAGAGTAACCCTGAACAAGGACAAATAGAAAGAATAACACTAGGTTTCATATGGTGGGGGAGTGTAATAATGTTTTAAGATGTATTTTTCTTACACAGTGATTCTCTATTTATATAGGAATAGGCTGGACATCACTTTTCTTTTTTTAGTATTTCAAGAAGCTTGTCAGCTAAATAATTTATAAAATATATTAATATCATCAATGTTCCATATTCTTGAAATTCTTACATAAATATAGGATCACTGTGAGTAAAAGACATCTCAAAACACTATATTTCTTTGTTTTTCAATCCATTAAGCACAAGGGATATCTCCATCTTGGAAACTCTAAATCTTCAAGCTGAGCACATCAGAAAGGACTGTTACATACCCTTCCCAACAGCATTCAATTTTCAGTGGCACCACACAATCTACGAAGCATCAAGCAGAGTCAAAATGTACTTCTGATACATGTTATTCATCTGCAACATTATACTGGCTGATGTTGTTATGCAACTTACTGACTTACACATTCAAAATGGTTTTTAATAACACACTCAACCCTCTGTAGAATGCTGGTGAAATAAAGAATGATAATACATTAATTTTTAAAAACTTTTTACAAACTAGTTTTTTTTTCTCTCCAACCCCCCCACCCCACAAATAAACAATTATTTTGATAAAGTATTTTTACACATCCGAATAAAAAGTTAGTAAACTGAAGAATATTTTTCTTTCAAAATCTGATTATCATTGTTTTCTTAAACTGTTCTGTTATCTTAAATCTTGGATTTTTTATGATTTTGTACAGCACACTAATGATGTCTATTCTGGTCATTATGTCTAGCTACTTAAACACGGGTTAATGTTCTCAGCT